GTAGGACATCCCACCACGGCCAGGCACCCCACAACCAGTTTCCCCACCACAGCAGGACATCCCGCCATGACCAGACACACCATGACCAGGTACCCCACCATGGTAGGACACCCCAACACATCCAGGCACCCCAAGACCAGTCACCCCACCACAGCAGGACATCCCACCACACCCCAAAAACTCCCCAGCCAGTCACCCCATCATGCCAGGACACCCCACCATGGCCAGGCACCCCACAAACAGACACCCCACAATGGTAGGACGTCCCACTATGGTCAGGCACCCCACAACCAGTCACCCCACCACACCAGGACACCCCACCACGCCCCAAAAACTCCCCAGCCAGTCACCCCACCACACCAGGACACCCCATCATGGCCAGGCACCCCACAGTTTCCCCACCACAACAGGAGATCCCATTACGGCCAGGCACCCCACAAACAGTCACCCCATCACAGTAGGACATTCCACCATACCCAGACACCCAACAATTATTTTCTCCACCACAATAGGACATCCCACTATGGTCAGGCACCCCACAGTCACCCCATCACACCAGGACATCCCACCACAGTCCCACAGCTGCTCACCCCACCACAGTAGGACATCCCACCACGGCCAGGCACCCCACAGACAATCACCCCACCATGGTAGGACATCCCACCACGGCCAGGCACCCCATGACCAGTTTCCCCACCACAGCAGAACATCCCACCGTGACCAGACACATCATGACCAGGTACCTCACCATGGTAGGACACCCCAATACATCCAGGCACCCCACAGCCGGTCACCCCACCACAGTAGGACATCCCACCATGGCTGGACACCTCACAACCAGTTTCCCCTCCACAGTAGGACATCCCACCATGGCCAGTCACCCCACCATGGTAGGACACCCCAATACATCCAGGCACCCCACAACCAGTTTCCCCACCACAGTAGGACATCCCACCATGGCCAGGCATCCCACAGCCGGTCACCCCACCACAGTAGGACATCCCACCATGGCTGGGCACCTCACAATCTGTTTCCCCTCCAGGGCAGGACACCCCAAGACATCCAGGCACCCCACAGCTGGTCACCCCACCACAGCAGGACATCCCACCATGGTTGGGCACCTCACAACCAGTTTCCCCTCCAGGGTAGGACACCCCAAGACATCCAGGCACCCCACAACCAGTTTCCCCTCCACAGTAGGACATCCCACCATGGCCAGGGACCCCACAGACAGTCACCCCACCAGGGTAGAACACTCCAAGACATCCAGGCACCCCACAACCAGTTTCCTCACCACAGCAGGACATCCCACCATGACCAGAGACACCATGACCAGGTACCCCACCATGGTAGGACACCCCAATACATCCAGGCACCCCACAGCCGGTCACCCCACCACAGTAGGACATCCCACCATGGCTGGGCACCCTACAGAGAGTCACCCCACCACAGTAGGACATCCCACCATGGCTGGGCACCCCACAGACAGTCACCCCACCAGGGTAGGACACCCCAATACATCCAGGCACCCCACAGCTGGTCACCCCACCACAGCAGGACATCCCACCATGGTTGGGCACCTCACAACCAGTTTCCCCTCCAGGGTAGGACACCCCAAGACATCCAGGCACCCCACAACCAGTTTCCCCACCACAGTAGGACATCCCACCATGGCCAGGTACCCCACAGACAGTCACCCCACCAGGGTAGAACACCCCAAGACATCCAGGCACCCCACAATCAGTTTCCTCACCACAGCAGGACATCCCACCATGACCAGACACACCATGACCAGGTATCCCACCATGGTAGGACACCCCAATACATCCAGGCACCCCACAGCCGGTCATCCCACCACAGTAGGACATCCCACCATGGCTGGGCACCCCACAGACAGTCACCCCATCACAGTAGGACATCCCACCATGGCCAGGCACCCCTCAGACAGTCACCCCACCAGGGTAGGACACCCCAACACATCCAGGCACCCCCCAACCCGTCACCCCACCCCATCTTCTCACCCCCCCGACCTCCCCCAAGCCGATACTCACTGTCCCCCTCCACCTTCTCGGGCGTGCGGCTCCAGATGATCTGCCGCGTCTCCAGCTTCACCTGGAAGGTCCTTCTCTCCGGCCTCTGGGACTTCTTCTGGTAGAACAAGGTGAGGACGGTGCCCATCTCCAGGCAGCGCAGGATCCTGCCCATGTCTCCCGCCTCCATCCTGCCGTCCTCCAGGAATCCATTGACGCTGCCGAGCCTGGCCATGGACATCTTCAGCGCTGGGCCATCGCCGGCGCCGCGGGTGGCTCATGCAGGAGGGGACGGATCCGAAGGGCCGAGACCTCCCCGGGGATTTTGGGATTTGCCCCTGGGTTTTTCCTCTACGGACGACGGCCGGGATTGGAGATGGCCAGGAGGAGGAGGAGGAGGAGGAGGAGGAGGAAAAGGCTGGGCTGGAGGCGCCGTGACCTTCTCGCCAAGGCTGGCTCTGGATCCGGTGTTGGCATCCAGCGGTGGTGGGAAGAGAGATGGGCAACGCCGGGATGGCCTCGCGCTGGAACGTCGGGAGCGTCGGGAGGGCGGAAAAGCATCCGCTGGATGGTGGCGGCGGTGGGAGAACCTCCGTGGGAAAACCCAGCCCCAAAAAAACCCCAACCCTCCCCCCCTCCAAAAAAAACCCCCTCAACCCTAAAAAAACCTCCCACCCCCAAAAAAACCCTCCAACCCCTAAAAAAACCCCATCCCCGTAAAAAAAAAAATCCTAAAAAAACCCCATCCCCCAAAAAAGCCAAATCACCCCCCCAAAAAGGCCAAATCCCCCTAAAAAAAAGCCAAATCCCCCCCCCCAAAAAAAAGCCAAATCACCCCCCCCAAAAAAAGCCAAATCACCCCAAAAAGTGCGGGGCCGGGGTTGGGAAAAGGGGGTGGGAAAAGGGGTTGTCGAGGGGAGGTGGGGCGGCTTTGGGAGCAGCGGGATGGCGGCGCTTGGGATGCGGGATGCGGGGTTGGGAAGGAGGTGCCGGGGGTGGTGGTGGTGGTGGAGGGGGGTGTTGTCCCACCGTCCTCCCTCCGCGCCCCCCTTTTTCCCCTGGCGGCTCCCTAATTTCGGGCGGATGAAATGGAGGCCCGGAGGAAACGGCAATCACACATGGCCGGAAAGAGCTCAGAAAGGAATTTCGAAAAAAAAAAAAAAAAAGCAGGGTCTTGGAGAAAGGCAAACCCCGAGCGAGAGAGGAGGAAAAAAAAGGCGGCCGAGGGTGACATCTAGAGGAATTCCGCGTGGGAACAGGATTTGGGGGGGATCCAACACCCCTCCGACCCCGGGATGGGGCTGCCTGCGTGGAAAAGCGGTTGGGTTTGGGGTTTTTTATGGGATAAAAGGGTTAAAGGAAAGCGGCTGGAAAGCGGGATCACTCCTGGTTGTCCTCACCGCGCCGCCGATCTGGGAATGAAGCGCCGGGAAGGAGCCGGAGCGGAGTCACCGCTGTCATGAGTTTGTCCTGCCTCAGCAGGGTGGGAGAAAAGGGTTGGGAAGGGCGGTGGGGGGAAAAAAACACCTGGAGAGAGGGGGGAAAAAAGGGAACAGGGATCGGCGTCATGGCTTTCACCCCTGGGAGGGTCTGGGCTGGCTGGGAAGCAGGGAGAGATCCCGCCTTTCCACTGCCTGCCTGCGAACCTCCCCTTTCCCAAAAATCCGGGGACACGCGGGGTGAAAACGAGCTCGGGAAGGGGTTTTGTTTTCCTTGCTTTATCCATGAATCCCCTTCTGTTTTCCCGCTCCTCTGGAGCAGAAGGGGCTTTGGGCCGAGGCCAGGAGTGGCAGAGGTGGTGCCTTCTTGCATTTGGGTTTTCCATTTCCAGGCAAATCCCGTTTCAGAGCCCCTTGTTCCGTCTGGGAACTGAACATCCCGACGGAGCATCGGAATAGGAGGTGGTTTTTCCACAGGGAACTGGGGTTTGGCTCCTGATCTCCATCCAAAGCCTGTGGGAGGAGAAGGAATGTTCTGTTTTCGGTGTCACCGGTTTGATTTGAGCGTCTCCAGAGTGAAGCCGTGAGGAAGAAATTCCCAAGGAAAGCTCCCTATGGATCCCTGGAAGGTGCAGAGGAACTGGAGACTCCCCTGGGACCTCCAGGTGTTCCCCAAAGGACCCAAAATTCGTGGTGG